GAAGAAGAAGCACCAGCAGCAGCAGTAGTAGTGATAGCAGTGGTGGTGGACACAGTTGACCCATAGTAGTAGTAATAGGAATAGGAGTATGAGCAGGAGTGGGAGTAGGAGTAGGAGTAGTACTAGCACCAGTACTAGTAGTGGTAGTGGTAGTGGTAGCTTATTGGGGCCAACTGGGTCAACGGGATCAACTGGGTCCAGAGATTTAGCGTGGCCCCCTATGCGGTCGCAATGTGTATAAAGAAAACCAAATGTATAATATGTATATGAATATGAATGAGAATCCTAAAACCCGTGGCTTGCTGCGAGTCATGGACTCAAGTAGACCCTACGAGTAAGGACACTTCTGGGGTTTGCTTGCAATGTGAGGTGAGGTCGCGTGGCTCAGCCACAAACACCTCAATTTGTTTTGGACAACGACTGTTACTGTTCCATCACCAGGTGCTACATCTCTTTAAACCTGGCACAAGTTTCGAGGAGACCAGTGGGCGAAGGTAGGGACTGAATTTGCGCGTTGAACCTCCCTTCTGCCAGAGTTTGCGCGTTGAACCAGCAAGGGGTCGGTAGCTCAGGAGGCAGTTGGAACATGTTGGAACCATGCTTGAACACTCCCATTTATGGAGAATATAGTTACCTACGTTAGCCTCTGGGGCCTGGTTGGGCAAAAAAGACCACAGCCACGTCAAATCAAAAATCGGTCCTCTCTCATAGTCGAATCTTCCAACGTCACTGCCTCAGTTGGGCATTGCAGCTCCAGTGTCACTTTCTCAATCTTGCTGTGCTCATGTTGAATGTTTATTCACCTTCGTGGTCAATCACCTCCGTGGAATTGGCCCATCAACAGCCCCCATAACACCATAACTAGCTGACTGTTCCTTCCATTTCCCTTCCTAGCGATCAAGGCCAACTTAGTGAGTGCTGTAGTTCCATCTCCTGCGGATCCCAAAAACAGCCCAAACACTTGGCTGGACACCCTTTGCTCACAGGGGGTCCAGCATCCCTCCAGTCATGGAGGGACCAGTCCCCGGAGGCGGACCCCACCTGAACATGCACAGTACCCCATCCCATCCTTCATCCTCAGCTTTGCGATGCCACACATGAACTAACTTCAAGTCAGCATGCACGCGCATGTGCCCCAAAACAAAACCAACATGGTCAATCATCTTCACCAAACATCTTCAAAACCGCGGACCTCAACTCGTCCTCTCCAAGGGGCGCCCAAGCTCATGTGGAGTCCACCGAAGGATTTCGCACCCAGAAGCTCGCCGACGCTCCTGGCTCTGTCAGAAGCGGCGCGGATGATTGTTTGGAAACCATTTCGGCTTTGTCATTGTGTGGTTTGGTTGTTTGGCCGTTTGATGTTCATGATGCCTTAAAGGTATTTTCATGAGTATGCCAGGATGTCTGCACACTTCACAATCGTCAGCCGATGGAAGGAGCCCGTCTTTCGCTGGAAGGAGACCAGGGTCAGCTCTCAGCTCTTGCAGTGCCATAGAACGAACAAACATAAAACATAGCCGAGAAACATCCTGAAACAAGTGCTTGTGAGCAATACCATATGGACATCTATGGACCTCTGGCATATATGGATGTAGTGCAAGTCTGAGCCCATCATCCAGTCTGCTGTCCTTGCAGTGAGCATCCGGTCTGCGGCATTGTCCTTAAAGAACCTGGCTGACCGGCTCACCCCAAGCGTTCAGGACTCACAGTAGGTACCTTTCACCTGCCCTTGGCTCATCCGATCAAGCAATTAAAACACAATGTAGTTATTAATATATATATATATACTCCAATAATAGTTTGGGTCTATCCTATTACCTGGTTGCCAGTGGATGATGATGGTTAGTACAGGCCTTGTTCTAAAATAGTGATATATACTTGTTTACGGGTCCTGTTACAGGCAATAGTCTAGTGGATTGAGAATACATGGCTCAAACATGCTCAAACCCCAAGGTCGGTGGCTTATATGAACCCCCCATGGTAGTACATCGGTTTCGGTCTGTGCCATCTACTCTGAAACCACTGCACCACAGAAGTCGGACTGATCCTACAGCAGCTATAGATGATGACCTGGATGGCTGACATGAACATCCGAGCAACTCACCTGCGAACCCCGTGACAAGCGATCCTTTCTGAAAGAATTCCTTTCAATTCGATGTATGTCATGGTCCACTGAACCACATCCCACAAATTAATACACATCAACTGAAAAAGCCAAGTCTCAACTAATTAAGTGAGCAAAACACTTTCCTAGTATATAGATTGATGTCGCGTCCTGGATCCTCCCAGCGTCATGCACCGCTCTGGGTTTTCCCCACGCGTAGCGCACGTCTGAACCCGGAGGTTTGCTCACCTTACCGGGGCCAAGTGAGCAAAGGCGACGGGATTCGGACAAAGACTGTACCTGGCCAAGGAGAACAGCAACCTATGCGTTCCTGTTTGCAGAAGTCAAATTATCTCAGAGTTCACATGGGTTTGGTCAAAGAAACGCCTGTTCTAAATGTATGTTTACTGATTTTGCCACCTAAACCAGCCTTTGCAAGGCAGCAAAAACTTCCAGAAATCAGCTCATGCGTGTGTGAAAGTTGCTGAAGAGCAAGCAGCCTTGTTGCAGGAGTTTGGATCCAAACCTCTGCCTGCCGCCCTTACAGTAACCTTACAAAACTCTTCAACAATTCAAACATCATCATTGTTGGCAGCAAATCCCCTTTTCAATCTGCATATCACTGCCGCTACAATCAAAGAATAATCTCCTTCGCTTCTGTTGGTACAACATGCTACAACTGATCCCGCTCCGCCCTGCGCCCGCCCTGCACTGGCCGCCATCTCCCGGCCCAAGTGGCAAAGGCCAAGGTTGATGGGTTTGGGAGTCGCTGGACCTCGTTTTATGCGCTCGATCAGCGCGTCGTTGTGTCGGCTCTTCGCTTCCGGGACGATGAATGGACATGAAATGACTCCCCGGCCGGTGACGGTACACCAAGCCAACCGGTTTGGCTCGAAACACGACTCCCCGGTGTCGCAGAACAAAGACCAAGCCAAGCGTCTTATTTGTGCTTTTGGGTGCTGGCGATGATCCACGACCGGCTTAGGACATGGTCCTCTGGCCACCGCGGGACGTGTGAAACGGCCCCAACGAAGGGTTTTTGCTGCGCGCGTTGCTGTGCGCTGCCACGGGGTCTTTGGGGGGTCGAATCTGATTCACTGCACCACTACACACCCATATCTCAGCGGTTAAATTCACCATTTCGGGCAAAGGACATGCGAGCCCTCCCGGAGTTGCGAGCCCTCCCTTGAGGAGCAGGCCATGCTGAGATCAACACGATCAGCGGCCAGTGTTTTGTAGAGCTCCTGTTCCGCGAGTCTTGTTTCAACAAACCGAGGCCTGGACAGGGGAATGATGGATCACTGTGAGCTCAACATGCCGCTTTCAAAAGGTGTCCAACCTGCTGGGCAATGGGTAGTTAGCGGTCTGGGTGGGAGTGTATTGGAATCCACTTGAAAACATATCTTGAATAAACAATCACGTGCAGGTTATCGAGACCAACTGGGGCAGGTGTCACTAACATTACAGTATACATCATAAGTTAAATGCAACATATACTAATATAGACACTAATATAAATGCATAGTACACGTGCATAAACCTGCTGCGGCGGCTCCTCTCCGAACATGTCAGAGGAGAGTGCCCCGAGGAAGCTAACTTTGGCTCCCAACCTGCGAGGGCGGCGCAAGGGCTTCACGGTGGCAGCGTGGGTGCCTCTTTCGAGCGGGTGTCTCTTTAAGGCTCTGGCGAACAATCATCACAGGGGAGAACATCGCTTTCCAGGTGGGGCTCTCAAACAAGCGGTGCCAGCAAATCCTGGCACCAGCCAGATCAACGGAGCTGCTGGAGAAGCTGGGACTCGTACCCGGAAGAGCCTGCTGGGTCTACAGTAGTCCTCCAGAACGAAATACTATATCCATCAGTGGCCGAATGAAACAAGAATGGCACACACTCTGTCGGGTTTGGCCGAAACTGGTCGGTCTGGCTCCAACGATGTGGGTCGGACCCCTGTCGGTCCGATTGTAGGTCACTGCTTCCACGGATTTGACGCACTGGACGCTCGCACCTGGACGCGGCAATGCAAACGTTCAGCGGCGCCCCTGGACCGGCCGGTGTGGACCCAGAGAAGCGGTAGAAGGGACCTGGGTGTCTATTGGAGGGTAAGGGGCTGTTGGTCTTCCGCCCTCAGCTGTTGGTCTTCCAAATATGTCCAAATGCCTTCCACCAATGAATTTTGGTTTTCCTTTTGGTACTTCAGGGACTCCAAAAGGCTTAGACTAAATATTGACCACCTTCGTCTCGTGTGGGAAATCTCCAAATATCTCTGGCAACAGGCAAACCTCATGACCTGTAACATTATATAAAATACACAAACTATATATAATATACCTACACAAAAAATACATATCTTACTTGTTGGAACAGGTTCACCATGGTGACACTACTTTGGAACAAGCAAATACGGAAAAACAGAAACGAGACAGCTGGTTGAAATCAGCCATTACTCTGCAGCACAAGAAGTGTGTTTGTCGTGGAGGAAAAGGCTTCAGTGTATCGAATATAATATACTCCAGACATATATAATTGGTACAAATAATAATATGCCAAACTATTTGAATGCCGATTACTTGCAAATGAAGAGTGCCTAGTGAAGGATGATTTGCATGTTTTGTCAGCATTCATTGATCCCAACAAAAGCTGCCACATTCACCGTCCCAATGCAGACAATAGATTTGACTTGACAGCAGTGGGTATCTTTGAGATTCTTGTCATCCTGGGTTCCTGATGTGAACGTGCGATGTGTCACATGCGACTTCGCGATGTGTCAGGCTTCATGTATCCTCCTCAAAAGAAAAGTGCTGGCGTATAGAGTGGTGGTGGCAATGGTGGTTTATTGCCAGGAATCTCAGAGTCCAAAGACCAAAAACATCCTCAGCTTGCGCACAGGGGGTTGTTCCTCCGATCCAGACCTCCACATACCATCTCATGGTTGAGAGGTTGGGTTTCGCTGCCTTTTCTCTTCGCCTGCTTTGTGGGCTCAAAAGATGAATTCATTCCAGGACCTGGACCCCATAGCAACAGGCAAAACACCTGCAGTCATGCTGGCTACATCTGGTTTGACCGGTTTGCTGAAACATGGTGTGAACTGAGGCAAACCACTGCCCCCAGCCAATGTCTCAGAAAATATGGCCTTTCTAGCCCGGCCCAGGTCCATTGCGATTACAAAGGCCCCCAGTTGAGGAAATAGGTCGAGAATCCTAGACCCTCCCTTTCCAAGAAGGGAGAGGTCCACTGGGAAGCCTAGTACAGTGCAGCGATCTTCAAGGACATGCACCAGCTCTCCGGCGGAGCACCGGCTCTCTCATCCGCCGGAAGACGCGTGACGTCGGCCTCCCAGGCTGGCGCCAACCCGAACAAATGGAGAGAAACAATGGTCCTCGACAAGTTAACGTGTGGTTCTTAGTCCCATATGAACTTTGAGCAATGGCAACCTAAAAACATACTATATAGTTTGATCTTGTTTGATCTCTATTAGGATTTCAAGGAGGGGTTGGGCGGACCATTTTATAAGTATAAAATTGTTGGGCCCCAGAAAAGACTAGAAAATGACAGCGGATTCCCGAAAAAAGTGCTCTATAAAATGCACACAAATTAAAAGAAAACAACAAGAGTACGAGTCGAGGGTCAGTAGCTGTCCTCTACAAAATTGTTCTACACAACCCTTGAAGCAATTTGAAGAAAATTGCCAAAGGTTGGATTTGCCGGTTATGCCGTTCATGCTGCGCTCATGCGTCCACTAAAAAGTCAAAAAAATCAAAAAGCACACTGAATACATATGAATAAACGAAAACAAGTGAGCTCAGAGAACGTTCAGGAAACAAGATTCTGTCAATGGCGCTCAATTTCTCAAAGGGCAGGGATTGGGCTGAGTCCTTGACTGTTCATGGCCTTTAGAAAATGATATGCCCAGCGTCTCTTCCAAGTGCGTTTCATCCTTAAAATTTGTCTCTAGAAAATGTATAGTTTTGCCTCTGATCTCTGCCACAGATGTCATCAACACCATCAATTACTATTAAAATTCTATAAAATGCATGTGCATCCCGAAATTTAACAAATTGCAAAACAAAAGCTACCCATGTCCTAGAACCATTCCAATGGGGATATAGTTCGTGTCTACTCGCCAGTTCTTGGAAGACCTTGCCAGAAGCACTGGATAGGCGAGGCCAACATCGTCTTTCATCGTCTTTCTATAGCATGTGGCTAACCGTGAATGGTAAACAACACGAAAAAACTGACATGTGCGATTCCACCCTAGCTGTTCATACCTTGAGATCTTGTTCCAGTTCGGTCTCCTCTCCCCATCCACCTGAAGTCTTGACAACTGATGGCTCACGTAATTATTCTCAAAACAAGCTTCTGCAAACATGGAGCCCGAGCAGTGATTGTTGTTGATCTGTTGATATCATTAAGCTATGATGTGTGACAGGAGCCGGGCTTTGAGCATGAATGCTCGACGTACAGTAGCTTCAGTAGCTATGTTCCTTTTCCTGACTTCTTGATACACTGACATAACACTCTAAGACCTCCTTCAAGCCTTTTCCTTCAAGCTGACGTAGACTTTGAAGCCAAGTTGGCAGCTCTCATCCACCCAGCTGTGTGTTTTCCTAATTGACCATCGCCCAGCCTGCTTTGGCACCTTTAGGGGGCCTCGACAGTCTCCACGGGCGTCTCAGCTGTCTCTGGCGTCTCAGCCGTCTCTGAAGCCTCTGGGGCCTCCACTGTCTCGGGGGATGGTGCAACAGGGGCCACTGCTGGCGCTTGAGTGGGTGCCACTGCTGGTGCCTGGGTGGGTGCCACTGCTGGTGCCTGGGTGGGTGCCACTGCTGGTGCCTGGGTGGGTGCCACTGCTGGCGCCTGGGTGGGTGCCACTGCTGGTGCCTGGGTGGGTGCCACTGCTGGCGCTTGAGTGGGTGCCACTGCTGGTGCTTCAGTCACCCTGGCGCGGAGTAGTAGGGTGAGGCCAAGGATTGGGAGGTTAAGCCATGTTCCACTTCGCTCAGGGTGCAACAGTCCAAATTAGTGGGATTCTGAACGGCCCGTCTCTCGACATGTTGTCGAGAGAGCTGGCTAGATGGTGTTCCTGGACTTGACCCATACATGACCAAATGCCACCCCAAAGGCTCATCCAAGGCCCTGAATCTTCAATGCAACTGCGGCCAGGTGGCCCTGTGAAGCCGAAGAGCTGGGCGATGGCCGCGGGAGCTGTCTCGGCCTGGGTGCCAAGGTGCAGTTGTCGACGACCGGGTCCTGGCAGCTAGCCGAGACACAGCCAGCTGCCCAAGAAAATGGTCAACGCATTGGATGAACATATGCTTTAATACACGGCGTCTTTTCACTAGATAACATATACCCTCGTCATCCCCATTGCAAACGATGGCAGAAACTGCCCCGCATTGGGTCCGGTCCAGTCTTCCAACAAGGGTGCTCAAAATGACAAGCAGGTCATTGCATTAGACACTTGGTTAAAAGTAGATACAACAGCCTAGCAGTGGCAACAGCATACTGGCCCTTGAGTAGGAAACCAACAAGCAAGCGCACAAACTGTAAACATACCAGGCAGGCAGGCAAACAAGTATGGAACTACTAGCTAAGTAGCTACACTATTAAAGTCGGTTGGCAAGCAAACTTCTACGGCAGGTAAGTGAGCAGGTAAGTAGCAGTTAGTAAATAATATATATATATATAAAGGCCGGCACTCACTCTGGGCCTGTGTCATCACTTAGAAGTTAGAAGTACTTAAGTACCTCTGCAATTCCGCCCGACACGAAAACGCCCCGCAGTGGCACCAAGGCACTGCGGACATGGCAGCTTCCGAGGTGGCTCCCGCATCCAGGAGGCTCTTCACGATCTCCACCTCGCCCAACCACACCTGGCGGCCACAGGCGGCCACTGCAGCGGCTGCAGCGGCCACGCTGAATACGCACGCTCCACAGCCAGGTCGTTAGACAGAAACCATGCCCCAGAAAACAAAAAACAATAAACACGAGAAGACATCCGGTGAGCCACTCCCGCAGCTCAAAAGGTGAAGCCACTCACGGTCCAACAGGGCAGGTTTTCACTGGAGGGCTGCCTGCAGTACAGTAAATGGTATAAGTCGAATGGAAAGTACTCTCCGAAGTGGCCTGCCCCAGGAAGTCCATTTCAATGCGAAGAACGTCGATATGATATTAATCTATATATGATTCCAGATTCTATATGATCCTCCACTGCACCATACGCCCTCAAAACGGATGGAGCATTCCACTGGGGGTCGTTCACCAAATAATACCAAATATTAAGTTCTAGTTCTAGAACCATTACATGCTGGGGGTCGGACGTTCACCAAGCAGTCTAGAATTCCAGAAATCGTTGACAAGTCCAGGTCCTTCTGCAACCCACAACCAAGGTGTCCTTTCGACACCAGACTACGCACACGCTTTGAGCAAAAGTATGGGCCCAAACAGGCATGTGGCTCCGAGTCCTTTGGAGCCCGCTTTGCTAAGAAGATTGCGAGAGGTCTAGGACTCGGGCTCCAAAGGAAATGGCCCGACTCGGGCTCGTCCATTTGGGGAACATCAAAAAAAGGAGGCCCTCGCTCCGTCGGTGCGGTCGATTCCGGACGTGGGCCAGGCCCGATCGTCTTCGCTGCTTGCGTCACAAGCCCTACCCTCAGCACCCCCGTAAAAACTAGGCCCAAAAGCGTGTTCAAGGATGTGTCTATGCTGTTTAATTCTTCAAGTTGACCTCAGCTTTCCAAGATAACGTTTTCGGCACCTGGGAAAGCTGAAGCGAACCCTTTCTTGGCGAACCGTCCGCTACCCCGGTGAACGAAGACGCGCCGCGGTGCACTCGCGCTTCATCCGCCCCAACGGCCCGAGGCACTGCACGGGTCAGCAAGTCCACGTTGTCACCGTCCGTGGGACTGGACGAGCAGTACGGGACCGTGGGCGTAGCCAAAAAGGACAGAAACATCTGTCAGGGGACTACTCCAAATGCCCCCAAAAAGCATTTGGAATTTTGTGGTGAAGTTGTCATTCTACCTTTCGGGGGTCCAGGTCCTGAAACCCAATGTGATTGACAAGGATGTTGACTTTTGATGCTGCATATAGGTTGTTAAAGCATGTTAAAGCCTGCTCATCTGACTCTGTTCAGCTGCTTGCTCGCGATTCTTTTCTGCACAAACATGGGCCAGGCTGGCCGTCTTTTGATGCCACCTGACTCCACTGCCCGAACACCAAAACCAGGTCTTCCATGTACGTGATACGAATCATATATCGTATTTCTGGGTGTCGCAATTCCCGCCTGCATTGATCAAGCTGACCATGCGACTTTCGCCATCACCAAGCCAGAAAGATCCATGGATCACTGGTCTGGATCAATTGACCCCCAAACAGATCCACCCGGGTGGCCCGTAATCGGCTTGCTCTGCCGCTTGTTTGGTTTAGCCCCAAATTCCATGCCTCAAGTTCTTGGCCGTCTTCAACATCTCGGTGACCACGGTCGACAACTTGCCAGTCACCTGGGAGAATTCAGAAAATGGATGTAAGTGATCAAGCGAGCGGATAAAGAATAGCAATAACACCCTAAACAAAAACTATAGCAAGTCGTAATCTGGCTTGATCTAGAAAAAGTTGAGTAAGGCAATGTAAAGCTAAACGTCCCCGAAAGACGATTGACATAAAAGGACAACAAAAACGCATCTTGTAGAAGTCAAAGCGCGAATAATTAGTGTCTGTTCATGTCTTTTCACTGCGAGGTGAAGCTGTGCATATGTATTTTAGTATATATGTATATATACAATTAACTATATTATGTATATATAAATAGTGAGTCTTGATTGCATATATTATACAGCAAATATGTACGGCATGTACAGGCCCCATGCCCCCGCTCCGCCGAGTCACGGCATGGTAAAGTGGGGTGCGGCCCCGGCGATCTTGGGTGTCAGGACTGGCGCCATGCTCAAGCAGCCAAGTGCACATGGCGGTGTCCTTGCGGAGGGCCTCAGGTGGACCGGCGCTGTTGGCCAAGCACGGCCTTCGGCTGACAACGGCGGCCCTGGGCCGACCAAACCAGCCACTGAGGAGGTGAAAAAGCGATTTTCTTCCGCGCCATGGACAATCAATGCATCGATTGCAGGTGTCATTGATTGTGATGTTGTCGCCGATTTGTTTTGCCTGAAGTCTTTCCAAAGGCCCAAAGGGGGCGAAAGTAAGTATAAAGTATAGAAATATTAGAAAGTAATGAAGTCCATCGAACTTCCTTAAAGGCCTTGCCTTCCCACAACGGCACTCGTTGTCAAGGCAAGGGTCAGCCTCTGCCAAAGGGCTCCATTGTGGGCCTGAGGCGGACACCTTAGCTCCAGCGGTTCGCATCGAAAGCATGCAAATCGCATGGACGCAGTCACCAGCCCAAAGGCAACCCCTAAAATGATGCACACTTTCTGTGATATAAAGCAAACATGTCGAGCTCCTGGATTCCAAATGTATTCAAATCCAATTAGAATGTTTCATGAGCACGGACTACAAAGCCTCAAATGTTTGCTCTTAGGTCGATGAGTTCGGAAACGCGAACACATCAGAACTCACCACGACCGTGGTCGTTGGTGGCACCAAGTGACATCATTGATGTCAACACCTGTCGAGGCTCAAGGTGGCCACGAACAGGATCCATTTGGAGAATTGTCACGTTCTGCACACTTGCAGGACACTTTTGAATAGCACTAGTGATCTTACGCGGACGTCTAGCTTGGCACCCTTCAGAACACCAGAACACTCTAGAACCAAACAGAACGATTCTCTTTAAGAACTTGAGGGTTCATTCAGGCGGGTCAGGGGCATGGATGGGTGTGGTGTGCTGTGAGTAATTCTGAGAGATTCCAGAAGTGGACCAAACCCGACGCTCGTACAAACATGTCGCCCATACCTGGTGGATCACAAGTAGTGAGTAGTGCTGTTAGGGGACGGTTTTGTGTGTGAGAGAGCGTTGTTTTCTCCATCCGCTTTAACCCTTTTTCAATTCAATACACTGAAAAAAATGCCAAATGACCAGCTGGGAAGGCGATATTGCTCCAACAGGCAGCTATTCCTCCACGTTTGTTTCCGTGTTCGCGGCGCGCTTCATGCGCATCAACCACACCTTGAAGCAGCAAAGCACTGGCAGCATCCGTGTCACCCCGTCGGCATGCCTGAGGCTCTGAGCTATCCGCTCGGCAGTAAGGTGCTCGTTGGGTCCATGTTGAAAGGGGGAAGATAGTGCCACCCTCAAGCACTCCAGAATCACCCCTTGTGCAGCACCTGCTAAATGGGATCCACCATGTAGCTATGAAGGGAACCTATCTTCCTCCTGATTCTAGGCACATGGCACATGCGCTTTCAATCAGCACGCTTTCAGTCACCCCTTTGCCTGAGGGGGGGGCAACTAGGAAGTTTGCATGTAGAGGCAGCCCGGTTCTGGAGCTTTCCCGCCATGGACCCGCCGCAGTTGGTGGCATTGTGATGCAGGGCGTTCGGCGATCACCGGGTTCCCTCGGTGCCAAGGAGCAGTATGGAACTCAGCGTTCAGCTTCGCCATGTCCACAGGTTCGGGTTCTGCTGGTTCCTCAGCCTGAAGGAACCTCTTGGAAGCCTTCGGAGCCTTGGCGGCGACCGGCGGTTTTGGAAGCCAAACACATAGTCGGTATTTCCAACCACCTCTGTAACTTAGCTGTTTTGGGGTTGGGGGGTCTAAGCACTTTCTGAGGATGTAGTTCCTTGTTTCTGAATGGAGAAATCTCCAATTCTTTCTACTTGAGTCAGCAAGTTGGAGGTGCATCATCTCTAAATATCTCCAGTCTCCAGCAGCTTGTTGTGGGCATTTGTGGATGTTACTGCATGTGTCTCTCCTTAAGGCACTCCTCAAAGGAGCATAGAAGAAGTCCAGGTAGTCCGCGGAGACCGCAACCAAGCCAACGACAAGAAGAAGGTTCTTCAAAGCCATTGCTGCCGAGCAAGGACAGGGGACACAAATCGAGCCGTGAAGCTTGAAATCGCTGCGAGCCACTGCGACCGGTCGCGTGCAATCGCTTGTGTGGCTGAACAAATGACAAGCCTACAATATGGATACAAAGCCACCTGAAATACATTGGGATATATCTAGGGAAAGGTATGCATAGGTGATCCTAGGTGCCATCTCAGGGTTTCTAGTTACTAGAAGCTTTACTAAGAAGCTTCAAAGACAAACTAGTAAGCTTTATTGTTACTAGTAGCGATGGCCTCCGGCCTCCACCTAGTAGCTTTCAGCTCCTCTCAAAATCACCAAGAAAGGCATGGGGAGCAGCAATTTCTTCAGCTCTGTGCTCACCCAACGGCCCTGGCTCCACAACGCCATTTCTGCACCCTCAACGCCACACAGAACCACGGGTCCACCCTATGGTCAACAAACAGCTTCTTCTCACCATGCACGCCCATCGTTAAGTTTAAAAGGCCGTCACACCGCTTAACGGCTTAACTTGCTCTGACCAAGCGCAATGTGGCAAAGGCGACGATGAGACTTTTGTTTCCGCCTGTCTTGTCTTGTAGGTTGCATTGTTTCAAAATATGAATTCAGGAACATACAAGGACCCGCGCCTCTGAATTAACAACATCGTGTTTCAGTTTGACAGCAACGTTTGTTGCCTCAAGTACGCTTGCACAGAACGAATCCATCTGGTTTGATCGGTTGATGTTGCTTTTAAGGTTCTTGTTGCCACTACATCAATTCAATTACTATTCTACATGTTTCTGCTTCCTTTGGAGTTGCCACTACTTCCATTGGCTGTTTCATGAACTCTTCAGGCCAGGTCCACAACTTGGATTTCTTCAGGCCTGGCCCCCGCGGGTCCACAAAAGTAGGTGTTGAACATCTGGATCCCTCACCATCAAACTACCAGTAAGAAACACAACTAACATGTGCGAAATTGGATGTGCGATTCTCCCGTGGTATGGTATTCTTTCATGGAGGCCAGGATCAGTACTGTGATCTTCGTGCCACAAAACGCCGCGTGTCAGCGGAGTTCCATCTCCTCCACACGGAGGCGAGTTCGCCTCAGCGCTGACCCGACGCGCCCGGTGACGGCGTTTCACGGCCCGGACGCAGCGTTTCACCAGGTTTGAAGGATGGAGTCCGTTTTGCGATCTGCGCTGGTGAACAGTGGGTGGAAATCTATGAGAGAGGGTGGGGGGATGTGGGAGGGATGATGCAAGGAGGTTGTGTTTTAGTTGCGGACATCGACCAACTCAGCCCATATTGCCGCATTCCTTCGGCCAAGTCGTAAAAGAATTTCTTCCCCGCAAAGGGAAGAAAGACTTCCAATCCTTTCCGAAAGCAAAAAAGCGGAGATCTTCCATCGGACTCGGAACATCTCAGAACGAGAACAGTTCACCGCGACAAAGGCAACCTTCGGAAGTGGAGAATCTATTATGTTAACCTATATACAATATATGAGAATCCGTCGACAGTCCGGCCCCAAAATTGATTCAAAAAAATGCCAAAACGTTTGGACTCTGGGCCACCCCTCTTCCACCGCGAAGCCTTGGTCTCATGGAGCCTCCACGGTTTCTGCGGGAGTCTCCGCCTCCTCCGGGGTCTCCACCGTCTCCGTCACCGGCGCCGGAGCGGGGACCACGGCAGGTGCCGGAGTGGGCGCCACAGCTGGTGCTGGGGAGGGCTTCGTCACCCTGAGTGGCGCAGTTCTGATCCCAGCAACCCACACACCTCATGTAGACCCGTGATTAAAAGAAACGACCTATATGTAAGAAGTTTAAAAACCTAAACATGGGGAAGTTTGTCTTTTTTTCTCATCAATGAGTCCACGCCTACGGGAGTTTTGGGCCAGTTCACACGCGTCTTTGGGCATCTTTGGGCAAGAAGTTGATGGTCAGCAGGCCCCCCTTTTTGGCACCTATATATGGGACGCCATTGGGCAATTGGTTTTGAGATGTTTTGAGGTCAAGCATGCCCGATACTTTTGGCTGATGACTGCACGAGTTGGTCAAGAGTAGAAATCGTCTCTCTCTCTCTCTCAATTGGTCAGGCGACATGAAGAAATAGTGGTCTGCGTCTATGCACTCCCAGGATCTATTGGACCTATCAGTTTCTTGCAACCAGCAAAGCCCGTAGCCATCCCATACTCCAGGGAGCGCGCACACACACAATCGGAAATCCCTGTAGGTCTCGTATCTTCTAGATTCTCTTTCATTCGTAATTCCTCGGCACACAAACACACAGCACGCACCGATATATCCTGGGTGTTGATCCCAAAAATCATGTCTTCTGGGCTTAGCCAAAATTCCTTCAGCAAAATGAGCAGCCTACAGGCCTATTCAACCTTCCGTATGGCCCCTTCCCTTGAACACCATGAAATCCTCTATAATATATAAAGGTGTCTGCTCAAAAGGTATCAAACAACGCGAAACCGCAGAAGCGCGCGTTGGAGAAAAAAGATGAAAAAGGTGAGGACAGGATCTTGAGGACCCTTCAGCAAGCCAATAGAAACTGACAACCCCCAAAGACGTGCTCAATGCTCATCTTTCAAACCCACCAGTTTCTATGTGTCTTGGGCCGAGGGTCCCCTCAAAACGCCCTGCCCTGCCAAGTTGCCCCGAGTGCCCGAAGAGCAAAGCGATCGCCGTGGGTGCCGACTGAGCCTTGGCACCGTTCGAAGATTGAAACAGTTAATAAGGGGATTGATAGAACCCTACATATTCCGACATAGTGTATTCCACCAAAGCCGAGAAAACGGCATGCTCTATAGTATTGTACAGCATCCAACAAACATGTAAATGTCATCACATCCTATTATGCTCTGAATATGCGCTTTAATTGTTCTGGACCCTGGATGTGCAAGTAAGCAATAGTTACTGCCCATGGGTGGGTGATGCGCAAGAGTTTCACGCCTCCTGGTCCGATACATGAATCCGATATAATTTAATATATCTCCCCTGCATCACTTTATATATATAATATAATTATATATATATATATGTGGTCCGCACGTATCATCTACATCATCAGGTTGGTGGTGCAACCCTTCCAAGTGGTTCTTGAATCGGAATAGCCATTCCCACCGGGCCAAAGGACAAGGGAAAACTACAGGCCGCCGCACAAGCGGCTGCGTGCAACTAGCAAAGCTAACCCAAATGGCCCAGTACTCGGAAAAGCCCAGCTTCACAGCCCAACCACCTGTGGGGCAATCAAAACCGAATCATAGTCAGTCCTTAAGAGGTTGGCTCTTCACACACTTTGACAATCTTCCAACATACATCACAAAGCGTGAGCGGAGCCCACATAGAACACCAACTCCCTTACACAAGATAAACCAAAACCGACCCCCTTCCAACCTGGGTGAGACTTTGCTATTCATTAATGTAATGTATGATATACATGTAATTACGTATGATAGAAGAAGCACGACGGGTGTTGGGTTACACATCAGCATTACGTGGTATGGTCAAAAGTTGTTGCCCCGAAGAATGTTGGAACCTTTTTGGCCAATTCCATTTGGAGATTTTAAGTATAGTGCAATTCCGAACAGCCACACCTATTGGATAAAATCCTACCTGTTTGCCATTTTCGGCTCAGCCCCAAGATTTATGATGAACGTCCTTTTCCCTCAAGTCTTTTTGCATAAGAATTCCTTCATCTTCACCCACCCCATAATTCCCCCCATGAGCGGATCCACGGCTGTACCACATGGATCCCTCGAATCCTCACCGCATCCAGCGACGATGGTCGACGACCTGCGTCGTAAACCACCGCCGAGGCACCGCAAACTGGGCGGCTTCGGAGGAGGCGCCCGAGGCCAACAAGCTCTTCACGATGTCCGCGTTGCCCACCCAAACCTTGAGGCGGTTTCGGCGGCACAGATCGGACGACGGTCCGAAGAAGGGGTGACGGTCGAAGTGAAGCAAAGGACAGGGCTGTTGCAAAGCAAAGGACACAGGTGGAGGCTCAAAGCATTGATATGGTTCACCGTGAGCAGGACATTCTGGAAGTGGTAGGTCTTGACCCATGACCACTTGGTGAACCGTTCATTTTCAGGGTGTCAGGTCCCATCAGGTATCTTTTTCGGGATTTACTGGGACAAGTGTGTTGAGTGAACGGCCGACCTGAACTGTTTCCCTATGTCAGCCATGTCAACGTTCGTTCTTGCGACGTTCCTCCTTGGGGGGGCAGTGCTTTACTTGAACCTTTTTGGTGTATTCGTGTCACACACTCTGGTATTATCAGCGCTGTGGGCAAAAGTGACTTCTCCTCACACGCGTTGATTTGACGCTTGTGCGTCAAATCCTCAGGTTGGTGCTGATTTTTTGGTGACTTTTTGGCAACTCAACTCAACCCAATCAGAATAGAACATACGACTTGGTCACTGTTGGGCATTTCACCCCAAACGAAAAGGACTTTTGACCTTCCCTCATGTATCCTCACCAACAAGTACCGCAGTGCAAGGAAGGAGAGCTCGCACAGCTATCTTCCAGTCTCTTTCTCACACACTAGGCCCAGGCCGGATTTGTACTATTGCTTGAGCCATCCTCATTTATCCTTTGAACCCTCTGGATTCATTGCACGCGGACGAGGAGCTGCGCGTGTGAGCAAGTCGATGCCATCGCCATCGCTGGGACTGACGCGGTGGATGGTGCGGGATGGGACAATGGGACCGACGACCCGCAAGTGCTGTTGATCAAGAAACAAAAACCATAAAAAAGACCATTGTCTCTCCAAGAATGAGCCAAGAAACAATTACTTATATACTGTAAAACCACTGTAGTGAGGGTCTTCCAGACGGGTGCCACTGGTGCCATATTAGATATTTATATATACAAATGTTGAATGTCATGGCACAAGCTTATCTTTTTCGAATAGATTAAAGTCCATCCAATAGACTGCCCAAAGCACCAAACATCACCAAACATCACCAAATACATACCAAATACAACTTCAGTTCAGCAAGCAGGAACCACAGGATGGCCTGAAGAAATGCGCAAAAACATGCCAGTTCTAGGGGCTCGGGGCAGAAAACCGCAAACGCAGATCCCGGCGGGAAGTGTATAGATGATTATAGATGTCCATAGCACCTTCTTGTATCTGTTGCAAGTGTCCTCATCCCCAAAACTGGCAGAGTTCTTTTGCACAACCCTTTGCTCACGTGAAGAGTCTAGCTACGACTCCTGCAAGCCCACATCTCGGCCTCAAGTCCTTAGCGGTCCTCAGCATCTCAGTGACCACTGTAGACAGCTGGTTGCTCACCTCAGACGTTGCTCGGAGATGCGAGCGACCCCACTCGGGGATAGGGGGAGAACATGGGGGAACCATCCTTCCCCTTTGAGGTGATCCACTTTTGGAGCGGTGGACGGTGGCCCGACTCTGGGCGATCTGATGACGGATCTCAGACGATCTCCGCTCCTTTTCGTGCCAAGCGGTGGATTGTGAACTTGAAGGACTTCTCAGCGGTCTTCCATCTAGCAGTCTAACATCCAGCCACAACAAATAGGGAGACCCCAACCACTTACTCCAAGCAAAAAGCGATCGACGAACTCATCTTCTCAAAGAGCATATATGTGAATCATTGTGAATATATGATCCTGTGGGCAGCTCACCCTTTTACCGTGCATGTCCCCTGCACGCTTGGGCCACTCATGGGCCACCTGTACCGAGCGATCTCACCCAACCGATTGCGACGTGTTATTCACATCGCTCCAACTATGTTTTGGATGAGATCTCTAAGTGTCCCTGTTCGCGAAGGGACCATTGGCCAAGCTCCATGACCTTCCTAAGAAACGCGGGAGACATTTTCTTGGTGAGGGGGTCCGAAATCATGTTTCCTCCCCCAATCCACCTAACCTGCCCTGCCGACTTTTCCAAGTCGCTCTTGAGGATCGTCAGGTCGATCCCTGTCCTCTTGTCGTCTATATGTGCAGACGTGTTGCGACACTTGGTCATCGTGTCATAGAGCGACTTTGAGTCGGTGGCCGCCACGAAAGGAAATGCAGCGAGTTGCTTCTCCCATCGATCAATCTCCAGATTGATTCCAAACAACTCAGCAAAGAGGAAGCGGTGCCAGTGGAGGCTTCCGACGCCCTGAAGCATCGACTGGCATTCTGCTGGCAAGGTGTTCACGGTGCACCTTTTGAGCTTGTAGCTCTTCCATCCAACGATGGAGATGTCCTGCTTGTGGTCGGAGGTCTCCAGGTCCTGGTTGTAGTAGAACAACAGGTAGCCGCCCTGGCTGTGTTTCTTGGCCATCTGGAGGAACTTTTCGGAGAGCGGTTGGTTGGTTTGCTTCTTTTCCTGTGTCTTGAAGAACGTGGTGGTTCCGGTCCATAAGTCACCTAGGTTCTTGAAGCTGTCGTTTGTGTCCCATCTATCATGTGTCACTTGTGTTCCAACTTGGGTTCTTCTATCTCGGGTGATCTGGTGGAGGTCGGGACCATCTTTGCCGATGATTGACCTTGGGTGAAAGGTGATCTTTCGTGGAGTGACATGATGCCTTACCCAGGTCGTCGGTGTTTCGCTCCAGTAGTCCTTGGTGTTTTCACTTTCAGCATTGGGTCCAGCATTGCCCCATGATGCGTCTGTTGCTACGCCTACCCTCAACCGGTCCAAGGGGATAGGTTGGATCTTCAGTCCAAGTCCTGAGGTCTTCATGAGGTCATCCACGATGCTATTGCCCTCCAAGATGTCACGGACCAGAGGGTTGGGCATTGTCTGTTATAGTAAGGATATGCGTCCGGCAACGTCTGGACGACTTTCCTTTGCGACCCAGCTTAGGCCACCAATCAACTGTCGGAGCTGGCCCACCTCTTCATCGGAGCATCTAGAGTATTTTTGGGCACCCCTTTCTCGACCAATGTTGATCTTCTGCAGGTAGTTCTCGATGTAGTGTTTTTGGTGGACAACGATGGATCCGTCCTTCTCCTTGATGATGTCCTTACCGGTGAACTTCCCATCACCGGTTGAGAACTTTCCCATTTTGTAACTCCGTTGGAGCCACCTCATGTTGTTCCAGTGTTGTTCACCTCCTCCATGTACCATGTCATCCGTGGCCAAGGCGATGACTCCAGTAACTTTTTGTGTTGACGGACACCGCAAGAAGAACAGACATGGAGCGGCTCGGCTCTTCTCATAGTTGAGCTCCTTCAGGATCCTGGTGATGTGACAGTACCAAGCATAGGGCCCATCAGTGAGCCCATAGCATGTCTTTCGAAGCTTGAGGAGCTGCCGATTGTGGTAGCCTGGTAGTCCTTCAGGAGGTAGTTCAGCATATAGTCCCGGGTGATCTGGTCACCTGCATGGAATGCTTGAGTGAAGTCCAGATGTCCAATCTCCCATTTCATGCTCGCGAGGACTTGGAGGACGAAAAAGACCGTCTCCTTAGCTACCTGGGGAGTCGTAGAGGCCAAATCCCTTGCTCTGAGAAGCCCTTCATCACATGTCGGGCTTTGGCCTTTTGAGGACCAAGTTGTGGGTTGGAGTCTTCAAGCAAGAGACCTTCTGCGGCCAACTTCTCCACCTCTTCCACGTCCACCCCCTTCTCCGTGAGGACGTAGCGGGACTTCATGATTTTGTCACCTTTGGTTCTCCGAATGTGTTCGGACTCAGTCCGGCTCAAGACCTCATAGGCACCGGAGTTGAGATTGTTTGTCACTTCTTTGGTGATGGCTGCCATGAACTTCTCTTTCTTTCGTGCTGGAAGTTTGTGTAGTTGGATCTCCTTTCCCTTTTGTTGTCGGCCTTTCACCAGCTCCTGGTACAGGATCTCTAGGTGTTCAGTCCGCATTCTCTTTTCCGGTGGTCCGGTCTCTTCAGTCGCTTGTCTCACTACGGCTGTCGACCGAGGTGATGGCGGCGGCAGTGGATGTTCATGATCTTCTTCATGTGGTGGGGTCTCACTGATCGGTAGAGGTTCCTGGGGTTCACCGGCCTCGGTTGGAGTGTATTCGTCATCTATTGGAGGGAGGTCAACATCTTCATGGGGTAGCTGGTTTCCTTCTCCAACTCCAGGTAGCAGTCGGAATTCTACCTCGGTTTCTGCCGTTTTTCCTTCAATCCGGTATTTTGGTTTCTTCGGTGGAGGTCCTTCTGGTTCACGATCTTCGAGTCCTTCTTGTCCGGGTTCGTCACATACTGCAGGTGGCTTCTCATCGAGGATGATATAGTTCCGGATCTTCTGGTTCTTAATCTCCTTCTGCGTATCCACGATGTCCTTGATGAAGTCCATGAACTGAAACTTTTCGTCATTGCAGATAGGTCGTAGGTGTTCGGGAGCTGCCTTCACCAAGGTACCCCGATAGCTGACCCAGACAGTCTTGGGTAGATCGGTCAGGATGACCTTCCCTGGTCCGTGCCAAAAGGCTGGAGAGTCTTTCTTCTGCCTCTCCATACCTTTCGTCCAGAAATAGACGGTCTGGCCCACCTCATAGTCATAGAATTTCTTTGGACCTGCGTATACGGCATGCTTGACTGCTTGTTCACATTCTACTTGGTGGAAGGCGAGGGAAGCTTGCTTGTGAACCTCCAGGGATCGCTGGACACCCATGTCGCCGGCGTGATATCGGGACATCACTCCGACTCCTTGTTCACCACCTTGAAAGAGTCCTCCGGGCAACCGAGGGCTGTAGCCCAGCATCCGTTGTATCGGACTGAAGCCAGACCGATTTGATAACCTGTTCATGGTAGCGTTGACCTCGTCCACGGTGTTGCGCCAATCATCCCAACTATTGCACCCAGTTTCCATGAGCGTCCGGGAGAGGATCTCCTTGAAGCTGCGTCCCGACCGTTCTGTGATGGCACGTTGAGTTGGCATCTCCAGTGAACCTGGGTCCAGGTAGATGTCGTTCTGGTCGGCCATGATCTCGAACTGTCCCTTAAACTCCTTGCCGAGGTTATAGATTGACTCGGGAGGCCCGAAAAGTCGGATCGATTGGTGGAAGGCTCTTACTGCTCCTTGGGGGGTGTGGTCTTTCACTGGGATCATCAGCTGAAAGCGTGTAGCCCAGCAGATTTGCCACCAGGTTCAAGTCCCGGAAGCCATACGGTGTCTACTCCCACCACTTGGTTTGGTCTCCGTTGTCATGGAGGTGCAGCTTGACGAGCTCCATCGACCCTCTTATGTCGTACACATGTTGGGCAGACAAGGTTCTTGGCGAGCTCGATGGCCTGCGGAGCGGCTTTGGCGGTTTTGAGAATGCTCGCTAACTTTTGGTTTCCTGGGTGACCTAGACCACAGTGAGCTCGTCGGACCAAGCTTTCAAGACTTCCTGGTTTTTCCAGGGGCATAGGGCGTCCATGTCCTTCTTGGTCCTCGTCATCAGGTTGTTCATGTTCTGGGTCTATGGTGAGTTCCTCAGGTCCGGGGAGTTCCATGTCGATGTTCTCCTCGGTCATGATGTCCCAGAGGTGATCTACTCGGTAGCTCTCCTGGTATAGATCCTCAACATGAGCGACATAGATCTCCTCCGTCAAGTTGATGGACTTCTTATAGGCCTTGAGGATCGCATCGATCAGGATCGTGGGATACCGGGCTGCCATCGCTGACCGCTGAATTCCATGTGAGGAACCCAGTATATGGCGGTGTTGGTGATCGCCTGGACATTCCTTCTGAAGGGCTTGGGCAAGGACTTTATTGTTGCATAGCCATCCAGTCGGCTTCTTGAGAGGTTCATGATCAACAGAGCGTAGACCAAACTGGCACTGGTCGTTCTTGATCAGGTAAATGGTGGGATCCTCCAGAAGGGTCCTCCAACGGGAATCTTGCCATGCCTTGGAAGTCCATGGGTGTTCAAACAAAAGAAGGTTCCACCATATGCATGTACACTAGCACATATTTCAATCGCAAAACCCAGTAACAGTTTAGCCTCCTTCAGGCGTTTCTGAAAAATCCTCATCTTTTCGGGGTCTTGTTGCCTCAAGTGTTCACTAAGGTTTTGGAGCATCGACAACATAGTGCATGGGGGTGACACACAAACAAGACCTGGTTTATGCGTGTGCAGATACTCTCGAACGGCACGACGACTCGGCTCTCGGGTGAGGTCATGTCCTAACTCCAAATCAAAAGCTTCTCCGGGGTTCAAATCATGTTTGGGAGCTCGGGCACCAAAACGGTTGGGGTTGTATACTTCGGCGACCGTTCTAGCCTGTTTACTTCCAACATTCGGTCCGAGGATCATGAGGGTTGGAGGTATACCCCTATCATATACCCCTAGAACGTTACAATATGGCCACTATATAGCATTATATAATGATTATATTGCATAATATAAGCTCTATCTTATATAATATAGCTCTAAACAATGACATCTGCCCAACAGATTGCATGGCAAACATTGAACTCATGTGGGCTGGCCTGGGCTCACTCAATTATTGAGAAACATAGTTGATGGTTTTGGGGTGTACCTTACCAAACAGCAAGGAATACTTGTTTTCAGAAGTCCACACCATTTGTGCACTGGATAGTGAGTGGATAGTGGTTGGTTTTGGGGTAGACCTGGCCAAATAGCAAGGAATACTGGTTTTCAGCAGTCCACACCATTTGTGCACTGGATATTGAGCAGATAGTCGTTGGTTTTGGGGTAGACCTGGCCAAACAGCAAGGAATACTGTTCTTTCAGCAGTCCACACCATTTGTGCACTGGATAGTGGGCGGATAGTGGTTGGTTTTGGGGTAGACGTGGCCAAACAGCAAGGAATACTGGTTTTCAGCAGTCCACACCATTTGTGCACTGGATAGTGATTGGGGCAGACCTGGCCAACAATCCAAAGCATTTGTGCTACTGGATATATCTTGACACATCTTAACCCAACGCCTTCATGGGAAGGGCTTTTACAGCCAGGATAACAGCTTTTTTGTAAAGATTTTGGGGTAGATGTTTGGGGTATGTGCCCAACGTTCATGAGAAGCGTTTGGCCAAACGGTGCACAAATTTAGAGTTCGGTGTTTTCGAACTTGCTACTGTACACAGCAGCTGCTCAAAAGGGTCTGGCCCCTCTGGGCGCTGGAGGCAGGTCATAATGTTCTCCCAAGTTCCTTGGGCTTCCATCAGAGCCGCATGGCTCTTCCGAAGGAGTTGCTTTAACTTCCTGCCACTCAGCGCACAGCCGCTAGGTAGTCCGTCATCATGAACTAGCCGTCGTAGGGACCGTCCATCCATATTCCTCCCGGCTTGAGGGCTCCCGAGCGCTGAATCCTGCGGGCTGTTGCAGCGCTCATCGTTGCCATGTCCTGCTGGTAGACCGGGAAGCGTTGCTCCGGATAGCCCGCCTGGTACTGGTATTGGTGCTCCTGATTCTCGACCCCCTTTCGCTGGTTGTAGGTGGACTTCTGGTCCTTCTTCTCCTGCCTCTCCTGTGCCTTCTGTTTCCCCGCGGCGGTCGGCTCGTCGACCAACACTTCCTTGCAGTCGGTGCACTTCTCGAAGATCTTGAAGGCATTGGTGCCGACCCGGCTGATGTTCCTGTGCTGGCATCGGTAGGTTGGGAGGCGTGGTACCGGTGGAGCTGCCATAGTTGACGATGAGCCCCCCCTCTGATGGTGTTCCTCTTCCCACTGTCGACGAAGAGGTTGTTGGGCACACCATTGAAAGGTTGCACATTGAGCACTCCGCTGCATCGGACGCCTCCAGAACAGGCGTTTGTTGTTCTGATGAGTGTGGCTCACGAAGAGGCGACATAGTCGTCCATGGCCGCATACTGGAGGTGGTTCCACCATGTCCTTCAGCTCGTCCAAGAGTTGATTCATGTCCCCCTGGGATGATCCTGGGCTGGTTTGAGCCAGCTCGGAGTTGACACTCAGCCGCTCCCAGGAGACCTCGCTGTTTGTCCGAGGTGGTGTTTGGAGCCCTGGTGGAAGTCCTTCTCCCTGATCGTGTCGATGAGGTAGAGGTGGAGGTGGAGCCATCGGTTCCTGTTTCTTCTGGATCAGGTGCTCGAGGATCAGGTTGATGCCCCTCATCACATAGAAAAGCTTCTCCATGACTTTCTTCCAATGCCACACCGATGGGAAGTGTGTCTCTCCCTTCGTGTTCCGCGGCCGCTTCAGGTCGGAGGTCGCTTCCATGTTTCGAAGGGTCCGAGGCAGTCGAGGGGCTGTCAACGATGGCGGGCTTGGTCCAGCTGGGTGAACATGGAGCGCAGTCATGAACACTCAACCGTTTTTCCAAAATTTCAATTTCTTTCGTGTTCTTAACACGGGCTTCCTTGGACAGAGCCTCCAATTGTTTCCTAGAAAATTCCCCCAAAGGAATCCGGAGTGCACCGGACGGACCTAAATGACATCTTACGGTGAAGCCCTGTTTCTGAAAATGAACCCTGAGTCCGGAGTCCTGGTCCAGGTAGATCACGGCTTTACATGCCATGAGGAAGGGCAAGCTTATCAAGAACGGGGCCGTCACGCTCTCGGGGTTATCGAAGATCGCCGGCATGAGATAGGAACCCCTGTTCCCCAGACTGGAGGGAACCATGGCCACTCGTTGGGTGTTGGAGATGCCGTGCACACTTTTGAAGCGATGTTCTTGTTCTTTGGTTCGAACTGGTAGGTCCGGTGGAAGACATCGGGCCAGATCCTCTAACGTTTTCCTTCCGACCACCATCCTCTGGCATCCGGTGTCGATCGTGGCGCAGGCATCAGGGTATTGTTCGGGTTTCATAGGTTCGGAAACATTCCCTCTTTCCCCCAAATAACACTCATGAACACTACTCAAAACTTCATGACGTCCATTAGTAGGAGGGCCCCCCCAGGAGCTCGACCCTATATGCGCTCTCGGCGGGAGGTGCGGTGTGAGAACCGTTCAAACTGCTAGAGCCAGCTGCCACATCAGCTGGGGGGACTACGGATGCCTCGCAGATCAGGTGATCTTGTCCAGGAGAAAGGTCATGGCCACCCTGGTGCTCTTCCAGGTGGCCGCAAAAGATGGCCTCTTCCAAGCTGTGGGCTTCCTTCGGGGCATTGCGATCCTTGTCCTTATCGGGACATTCTTTGTGCCAGTGTCCTGGCTTGCGACAGATGGCACACTTGGTGACTTTCTTGAGCTCCTCGATGGTCATGCGGTAGTTGCCTTCCTTGAAAGGCGCACCGGAGCTGGTCATCGTGAAGGACTTGCCCGGTTTGAACTTTGAGGCATGGGAATAGCCGCGGGACAACTCTTTCGACTTCTTGGCCTTGAGTGTTTGCATGTAGGTCTTCTTCTTCTGCTGCAGGATGGTGCTCAAAACTTCTGCAGCCTCATGCTCCTCCAGGATGGTGCCGTCACCTTCCTCGAGGGTGAAGTCATCGTCCTCCTCAACCTGGAGGTCGTTGAGGGCCTCCTCGACCGCAAAAATCTCGTCCTCCTCAATCTCGTTGGGCTCCATCTGGACGTGGTGCGCAGCCGATGAAGAGGTAGTCCTGGAGGTAGTCGAAGTTGCCCCCCTTCTTCTCCAATCCGACCTGGGACGCCTGGAGCTTTGTTTCGTGTTTTCGGATCCATTCACGAATGTCACTGGGTTTGATGGATCCTCTGGAGTAGTTGAGCAGGGACTTGATGTCGGCGTCGTTCAAGCCCAAGGCATTGATGAGCAAAAAGCCCACGTACCGCTCGGGGAGCACGACGGAGTGTTCAGCCACCTTCCGCATCGCCACGTCCCACCGGCAGAAAAACTGCCGGAAGTGTTCCTCCTTGCTCCTCCGAAGATGGTACGTGATCTTTGCCAGGGCTGACAGTAGGTCCGCCTCCCGATCATCACCGAAGTTCTCGGGGAGCTCCATCAGGGTGATGAGCTCCTCTCCATTTCCATCACTGTTCATCCAGGCCCGATCCCGGGCGAGGTACTTCATCGTCTCGAACGGCGTCTTGGTCAGCTTCTGGAGAAGAAGTGGCCCACGTGCACGGGGACGGGCTTTCGTGGTGGCGAGCCAAAGACGAGCCTTGATGGCATAGTCCTGGAACGACGGCGTCTCGCCGTCCCACTCCGGAGGTGGCCCGCTGCTACCAAGGCCGCCACCACCATCGCCCGTGTCGCTTTCATTGCTCCGGGTGGAGCCGCCCTGTCGCCGCTGGTGGCGATGGGGATACCTGGCCTTCACAAAGGCCCGAAACTCATCACTATCAAAGGCCTCCTCGGCCAACTCTTCCTCATCGAGGTCGCCAGGGTTTTCCAACCCTTCATCATCCACATGGCCAGCCGGCCGGGAGGTCGCGGACGTCGCGACGGGCGGCATGGCACCAACCGAAACCAACCAACCCCAAAAAGGGACACCCCAAAACAAACGAACCAACCGCCAGGTCCAAGGGCCGGACCTGGCTCCGCTACCACTGTGGGCAGCTCACCCTTTTACCGTGCATGTCCCCTGCACGCTTGGGCCACTCATGGGCCACCTGTACCGAGCGATCTCATCCAACCGATTGCGACGTGTTATTCACAGATCCATATGTGCAGTCCTTACTGTCGATGGAACAACTCTTGCACGGCCTATGAACAGACTGTCATTGACTGGCTTGAACCCACTGGCCACACTCCTCGGCCTCCTCACACGCTTCGAGGCGACGCTCGAACGGCTAACGCAGCCTCGCCCGAAAACAGCTGCATGACATGTGATGGGCCAGGACCTTGTGTAGGTGCAAGCACAAGCATTTCACATCATTTAACTTTGATCAATTTTGATTTTTGATCCATTGAATCTACTGAGAAAGGATTTGCAGCACCCCTAATTACACACCTAAACTGGATCTGCAATCTGCAACTGGTAAAGCAATGAGTGGCGGAATTCGTGGGATTCATATTAAGCTGCAAATCATTTGCGTTCGTGCCATGTCATAAAGACATATCGGTGGATCTGATTTGTGCATCCAAGTAGTATACTGTGTTTTGTGTTGTTTCTTTTGAATTGCGTGCCTGATATGGTATAATATGATATATAATTTGTGGTCTTGTGCTGAATGTCTGAGAATTTATCTTGATTGTCGGGGACGTGCTTGGAAGTGCTCTTGAATGAACATGCTATGCTGGCTTGCTGTGAGTACTCCTGCCCCAGAATGAAACAGAATGATTTGTAATGATTGTGAAAGAACATGCACTATCCAAAGTGACGTGACCAAAGTCATACATGTTGTGGAACAATTAGGTGTGTGAAACTTGTTGGACCTAGCATGATCTAGCCCTTGTTTCATCCGTCGCCTTCAAATACATAAAGGTACTGTAAAGCATGGTCAATGCGTGCCACGCTTCCTCCGGTCCCTACTTCCACCGAGGCACGGCATGGTAGAGCGGCGTGCGGCCGCGACGGTCTGGGGTGTCAGGACTGGCCCCTTTCGACAAAAGCCAAGTGCACATGGTCGTGTCCTTGCGGATCACCTGACGAGGCGGACAGCCAAGTTCGGAGCAAGAAAGAAACGATCAAACAACTGGCAGTGGGTGACGTGGAGAGATCATTCAAAGATAGAGCATATCAACTTCCCGAACCCAGTAGATCCAGTGATCACTAAATGTCGGCGACCCAGGGGAACTCATTTGGAAGAAGTTGTCGGGCCGGGCCGGGCGAGCGCCCAACTCTCAGGACCCTGGCTTTCCTGCTATCCGCCCATTCCCTGAGTGAGGCAACTCGCCCCTGGAAAAAAAGCACATCCATCCACATCTGCTGACGACCCCTCAGGGGACGAAAGTCAAGCCCTGATGTTCGATTATTTCTGGTATTTTGGTGTCCATGCATCACCGTGACCGTACCCCTTGGAAGAGGTCCACATGGAACCTGATAACGACTGGTGTGTTGAGGTGTAAGCGTTCGTCTTCCTTGCAGGTCCATGTCGTTCGCCCGGTTCAATGTGGGCATCTTTCTGGGCGTGGTCGGGAAAAAACCCAACATCCTTCCACAGCTTCTCCGCTTCACCCATCCCTCCATTCGTCCCGAGCCACAGCTTGCGCGAGGGCGCTCCATTCTGGGCCAGAGGCCGACACCTCGGCCATTCGACGTCGGCACATTCGTCAGGTCGAGGCCAAGAGGATTGGATCTCAGCAATCCGTCCAAGAGGCATCCGTCGCTCACTCAGCGCTTTCGAGTCAGAACCGGCAGTTCAATGATTTCTGAGTTGGGCTGTCGGTGCGTCCTCCAACTTCCAAACCATCCAACCATCCACACTGGTCTCCTAACCATGATTTCCAACCAGCTTGCTGGTCCATGGGATCCACTACTGGGTCCACTGAGTCCACAGCAAACCAACCATTTCGGTCCCACAAGCCTGACCTGTAGTGACGAGGGGAACGCAGGCAGTCGCAGTTTTTCGGCAGTCGTGCCAGCTGCTGCTGGCGGTGTATGTCAGGTGCTGCCAGCGTCGAACTCTTCCACCACACACACATCTCTCTCTCTCTCTCTCTCTCCCTATGTATAGATAGTATAGATAGTTGGCTTTTTAAATATATAGAGGATTATAGTGGTCCTTAAGTGCTATGAATGCACCACACCATGTTTGTCAGAATTGTGTGCACCAAATATGACAGAAAATTCAGCCAAGCTGCATCATTCACGTCAACACCTGGCCCAAAAAATGGTGACCCCGCCAAACAGGCTGTCAAGACTCCATTCTGTCCAGGTCTGATGACTCCACCCGAACAAAAAAAAACGCATATACATATATATATATACTTATACTTAACCCTGTATACGTGTTCATCATTGTGAATCTAATTATACAAACTCGCAGGGTAGCTTCACAGCCAATTGCAGCATGACCTCCTCAAAGTGACTGTGGTATAGAGGTAAACTCTGGTCAGTTGCCAGCTGCCGGACACGAATTGGCTTAGATCTAAGGACAGCCTTTCATGAGAATAAACACTGGCCGTGTATTCACACAACCCCCCATCATTGTTCTCACCCAAGACCTAAGCTAGTAAAGCTAGAAACCCATAGATTCGCCCACCCGATGTCTAAAAGAGACATGACATGGCCCAACTGGACGTCAAAAGAACTAAATCAAGTCACCTCCCAGTCCTTTTCACACGTGTTCACCGCACCGAGTTTTGGGAGCAATCTCTGGGCCCTTCCGAGTGCCGGCCATCGATTCTGGCGGGCGAAGCCTGAAGCCTCGACCGGTGCGATCCGCTCCGCGCGATGAACCCGCGCGTCCTGGGCGGTTCCGGTCTCGGTCGACCGTCGCCTTTGAGGAGCAAAGCGCTGGCGGCATCCTGATCACCACGTTGACAAGCCTGGCAAGCGATGGTCTCATCGCTACGAACATAGCTCCTGGCATTGCTACTACGAGTATTAACAAGAAGCTACGAACGTAGCAAGGGGCATCGCTACGAACGTGAAGAATTAAGCGCATGCTTTCGCAAAGGACCCACCCAGGTTTGTTGAGGGATCAGTTCAGTTATGTAACGTGCCCAAGCCGCCTTGAGTGCAAAAGGCGGGGGGGGTCATTCTTCTCGATATTTCCCTGATTGAATTGGTGCATCTTGGGTGGTCCCCAGTCGCGATCAAGGACAGTCAATGGCCTCTGCATGCCTCTGCTAAATTGTGATCATGACTGAATCGCTAAGCGGCAAACATCCAATGACACAGATCAACAAATGTCATTGATGGCTCTGCCGAAAGCAAATGTACGGATGATCATGGATGATCCCTGAATTTACTCGCCTGAGATGTCCCCCAAGCACCAAACCTCAAAAAGAGTGGATCCCTGGCAGTTCTGACCATTCTCCAACCCCGCCTTGTGAAAGTCGCTGGCCAACTGAGCCACATCCACACCGCTCTCCTGAAGACGCCGCATGGACGCCTGAGTTGGCGAGGATTGGATGACCACATCGCTGCAAGGGGAGAAGTCGTCACTGGTTTTGAAGGGACTGGATCTCAGGGTGGAATCCCATGACTATTCGCGTCGTCATAGTCTCGCTGAAGTTTCAACAAAACTCAGGTCCCAGCAGAATAGTACTGCGTCGCGACCTGCAGCACGCCGACCAGGAGAAGAATCTTCTTCAGCGCCATAGCTGCCATGAAGCTTTGGAAAGACGCTTTCACCTGTCAAGATACGTCGTAGAAGCTTTCAAGCTGCGAGCCGCTGCGGAAAACGGATGAGTACTGAAGTGGCCATCCAAAAACTCCAAATCTGAAAAAGGACCCCTGAGTTTGGCGATCGGAGACTGCTTATTTGTGTTTGTTTTTTTGATTCGCCCTTACTTAATTAAGTAGCAGGCGTACAATTATATAAGGAGTAGGGCCCACGCTCCTAGGACACCGGATAGCTCACACTAATTTGGTTCCTAGATTTTAAGGGAAGCTTAGCTGTGTGTCTCGTGTCTCTCGGGTCCAGTTTTTCTTGCCTCCTGGTCGGGGAAGGAAGGCCTGGAGACAAGCGCTGGTTGCGGTAAGCAAGTCGCAACGCAGGTAAGTACTGTATGTAATGTATAGACTATTGATTAATACACTCCCCCATTTGAATCGGAGGGTCTTCATATCGTTCATATGGGGGGCTTATTAATCAAGAGTCTACATTAAGTACACTCCCACTTGCGTTCCATGGATGTGGAAAAGCCCTTTTTGTCTGGACCAGAAGTTGCTTTCCCAGGGTCCATCCTCTTGGAGGTTGTTGATGCATGTGCAAACAGCCTGCACCCTTGTCTGCCAAGAACCCTGTTGACGAAATCTTTCATGAAAGTAGGCTATACAAACTTTGTCTAAGAACCATCCAATAGCCCAATATGATGTAAGAGTGAGACATATCCCTCAGTTGGAGCCAAGGGAGGAAGCTCATCAAGTAACATAACAAACCAACATTGTGGACCTACCCTTGGTAGGCTGGGCAGAGGGAACCTTCGCCCGTTTTGGCCAAGCACAAGACGCGGTACCAGGCACCTTCAGATACCTTCTTACTGTACATTACATAAATATTGCAGGAGGCAAAGGCAGGATGAAAAAAGTTGGAAAACACATGCTCACTGGTCTCCGAGTCTCCGGTCAGTATTTGATATGCCACTCACTTCGGGCGAATAACGATGCTCTTGTCCAGCCAAGCCACGAATTGTATTCAGGGGGAGGGCTACGGGTAAGAACGCTCAGGTGACGGATCAAAAACGCCAAAGTATAGGGTAAGAACGCTCAAGTGACGGATAAGACCGCCGATGGAAAGGCGTTAACGCGTTAAACATTGAACATACACACAATTGACATACAACAAGCAGGGAAAAGTGAAGCATAAAGTGCATTCTGCATAAGAACCGTGCCTCTAGCCCCTGGGTGTAGGGCGCTCATCCTCACAATGAATCCCTCACGTGGTGGTGCATCCGGATTCAAAGGACAAGAATGCCTACACTCAAGTACGGATGAAGGCGCCGTTACCGCGAGGACCCGCGAGGGCTGAGGGCGTCTTGGAGACCATAGATGTGTTGGTTCTACAGGAGTACCAACCAATAGTTATATAATGTTATATACGAGAATCGATGGTTCTTACTGTACTTACCGCCACTTGGGTATATCATCCCATTACCAGCAACAGTGGATGACGATGATTAGTACAACTATTAGTACAGGCCTTTCTCAAAAAAAGTGATAATCCTTTACTGACTGTTACTGGTAATGGGCTACACCCTACTTACCACTACAGTATATCCACTATGGAACCATATGCAGGGGTTCTGACGGTCTGTGGTTTTCAACTAGACCATCCCATGGGGCATAGGCCATTAGCCCATATACATTGACCATTCACCACCCCCAGTGTAGGTCCAGTCCGGCCAGTCCCTCAGTCCCTGGCGTCTGGCCCTGGCGGCCAGGCTGTTGTCTTCGCCGCTTCTCAGGATATAAGCGACTCCATTGCCAATTCTGCATTGACCAAAGCAACCCATCCAGTGCACAAAAACAAACCACACAATCAAAAAACATCCGTCCCTTCAAAATCAATATGCTTAACCAAACCATCCAAAACCAACCGACAAATTGGCAAAACGCTCGGCTACAATTGGCGAAACCACCGGGAGCGGTTGAACTCGGTCACTACTTCAGTGTCTCGCCTGCTGGCCATCCACTGTGGTCACCGGAAGGAAGTCAAAGAGCGCCTATGGCTGGAACATCTACGTGCATGTTCTTAATGTATTGTAACCATTGTCCAGTATCATGTAAAATTCATGTATACCGATTTCTTTGAAGAGTTGACCCTGGGGGCCTTCAGCAAAAACTCGTTCGTAAGCTCCGGAAGCAGACCGACCGTAACGGGCATAGCGACCGGTTGGAACGGCCCAAGGCTTCCTGACGGGATCAAGCAACCGTGGGGTCTTGGTCCAAAGCTTAATTGGTAAAAAATCACCGTCAAATCATCCGACTGGTGCGACGAAAGTAGAGAATGAGGCTGGCTGGATCCGAATCTGTAGTGGTGGGTCATTCCCTTCTTGCCAGTCGCACCAGTCAAGGGTTGTTGTTGCGAACTCTCTCGGCACTCGTCACCTTCGATGTGAGGTGCGGGTTCAAGACTTCATTCACGTCAGGCTGAGGCCTGGCGGCCTGGTGCCTCAAACCGTGATGCCACAGACTCTCTCTCACTGTGCGACTCTTTTGACATTCAGCAGGCTCTGTTTGGCAAGAAAGTGCTTGCACGGCTTTGGCCTTGCGACTCATTTATCGTCTGCCCGTCCAGGAGAGCGGGAGTTCTTGAAACCATGCCACCAATACACGCATAAAAGAACACATGCTGTTAGCTTCACAATTTTCATATGCTTACTACCTGCCATCTTTATCACACATCATTCCTGTCAGTAGGTTCTGTGCTTGTTCCTCCCTGAGAGTCCTTGAAAGTGAATGAAGGACACTGCGGTATCTATTGTTTTCGGGCAACCAACAGTTCCAAAAAGAAACACCTGCCAAAAGCACCTTGTTCCTTTTCCTATGATCCTGTTGGTTGTCCTTGAGGATCAAACATGTTCAAGTAATCTCTCTCTCTCTCTCACCTCCGGACCTTGCAAACTTTGAGCTGTTTCATATCATGCGGTTTGGCAAGAATGGAGGGCTGCAAACAATAGCTACATAACTACTCAATTACTCATCCTCTTACCATGTGTGTTTTTTGTTTTACTTCTTTGCTGTTGTCCAACTCTACTGCAAAGATGTTGGACTTCAAACACATACATGACTTCAAGGATTCACAAGGATGTCTAG